GGCCCATGCACCGCCGCCCACTCCGTGCACCAGGTCAGGCTGTCGCAGCCTCAGGAGGACAGAAGGGACATTTTAGGCCCATCTGAATGGAAATCTCTCCTTGCTGAGCCCCCCTGAGCACCCTTGGCTCCACACTGCGCTGCAGAACACAAGAACAGGGTGAGCACCTCCTCTTTCCCCTCCATGCCTGGTAACAACATTTCCTCCTCTTCATCCTCATCCTCTTCTGCTTCTTCAGTGTCATCTTCATCATCCTCATTCTCTGCCTCTTCGCTGCTGTACCCATCTTCATCTTCACTGCATTCCTACGAGAAACGAGACACCACCAGAGTGACACAGGACACTCTCAGTGCCCTCCCCAGCCAGCCGATCCCACCACCCCGGGGACAGATGACAGGTTGGCCCCAGAAGAGGGAGATGACCTGGCACGTTCCCCCACACCTAAGCTCTAGAGCCAGAGCAGCTGGTTTCAGCTGCCACAGCGAATGAAAGGATGGTGCATGCAGCAAGACCAAGGGCCCTCCGTTACCGCCGCTGCAGATGAGAGCATGTTTCCTTCAGGGTTATCTCGACAGTCCCCGACACTCCCATGAGATGGCCTCAAAGTATCAGCCTGGAAACCCTACTCCTAGGCCAGACCTAGGAGGAGCCAGAGGCTCGGCGGTCCAGTACCACAATAAGCAATGCATTGTGCCCAGCCAGAAGGCCACACTCTGCCCCAGTGCTGTTTCCTACCTCACTGTCTTCCTCCTCTTCCTCAACCTCATCTGACTCATCCTCACTGTCCTCAAAAAATTTGGATTTGGTTGTGCGCTGGGGCTTTCCCGTAGAGGAGCAGGAGGGCCCGGCCTCCCCAGTAGAAGAGGTGACGGCCTCGTCACCTTTGCCTAGTTCAGGCTTCTGCAGAGCAGGGCTGTTGCCTCCAGTGCTGGCTTTGTCTGAGGTGGAGGAAATACCCGTGATTTCTTCGTCTGGCTTCCCATTCTTCCTCTCCTTGTGGTCGGTAAGCTCCCCTGGGTCAGCCTCTCCATTCATATTTGACTCCCCATCATGCTGCTTGCCTGTCCCCTCTGCAGCGCTCTCACCAGCTGGAGCTAAAGACTTGTTTTTGAGGTTCTTGGTGCAGTTTTGTCCATAACGTGTGAGAAGCTCCTCGATGGTCATTGTGGCTTCTTCGTGCAGAAGAGCAGCTTCCTCATTATCCACTAAAAATGGAAAGGGGAAGGGGGTGAGGACAAAGAGGGTCAGAAAGCAGGATACGTCACCACGGCAGCAGCATGCCTGTGCTGTGTGGCGAGCTGCCCAGGCTGGGCACTGCCCCAGCGGGCTGGGAACACTCCGCGGG